TGCATAGTTTTATTCAGTATCATTTAATTGTATCAGGGATGAACTCAGCACTTCTTGCTTTCGTGGTCAGATAATTGGGATTTCAATACAATTAATCATTCTTTAATAATTTGTAAGTAAGCGTATACATTTTGTTTTGTTGCTTTAAAGTGCATTTCATTTTAATAATGAGGATTTCAAAAATATTAATTATTCATTGAAAAAGTCAGCGTAAAAAAATTTTCTTTAAAGTGAATTTTATTTTATGAAAATTATATCGCATTGATTGTTAATTCAAGCAGTGGCGTAGGAAAACGGGGAGGTTGGGGCTGCCAGGGGGCTATCCTTTGAGTTAGGTTAGGGTGTGGTGGGGGGGGGGTGGTGGGGTACAATAATGTGTTTTAAACTATTAGAACCAGGTAACATCCTGTGAAGTAAAGTCCTGGGATGTGAAAGAGCCCCACCTGATGCTGGCCACATTATTCCCCGAGTGCCGATTGGTCTATAAAATATAGGTCTAACATACTATATGCCCAGTTATCCTGGAAAGATATAAAACCGAACGAAAAGTATATCAGCATGCTTCCCAATATAACGAACACAAACTAAATGTGAACTTTGTATCCTTCATCAGCAGTAACAATAAATAAAACATTACCACACAAGTTGACAAAATCACTTAGCTTAGTATCTCGAAGCAGCCAGGTCGATGTCTTGTCAGTAGACTGACGAAGCACGTGGGACAAAAGAATAAATACAGTTATCTCGAAGGCGTGGAAAAGAGTCCATTACATACATAGAAATATAAGGGGTTTGATAGGAAATGGTCTACACAGTATACCACCTGACTAATACGCCACTGGATTCAAGAACACCAGTAAAATTAAGATCACGAGAAACAATCAGGAGACAGAAACTCGAATTGTCTTAAACAGCGAAGCAACAGGAGTTCGACACCGCATATTTCCTTGTAGGTAAACTTAACATAGGTAGATATTCTGAAAAGGATGTAACATCAAGAATAAACAAAGCAAACTAAGCATTTAACATGCATAACTATACATGAAACTCAAAGTAGCTTTGACGACAAAGCTCAAAATATACAAAATAACATTTTTAGGAATACTGCTATATGAGTGTTGCAAAATGAAAAAAATTAAAGCGGGTAATTCACATCAACGAAAGACTTTTCAATAATATGTGTAATATCCTGTGAATAATTTGAGCACTTAAGATTACAGCTTAGGAATTGAACACAAAAATAAAATGATACATGTTGCTAAAGACAGAAGATGGAGATGGTTTGGTCGTGTTTGCAGAATGCTTCATGACACTTTGGTAAATAGCATTCCGATGAAAGTCATATCAAACAAGAAAACATAGACTACCAAATGAAACCTAGAAAAGGACAGGAAGAAGGAGATGAAGGAACGCAAAATAGCAAGGGATAAATTGGATAAATAAGCCACAGAACCGGCAGCAGAGGGAATGTTCTTCTTCTTCTTGGCGTTCAACAGTTATAAACTTCGACAGAAAGTCATGGTTGTTCATCTATCTCTTGGCTTTAGACTTGTTAGAGAACCTAAATGTTGCGTGCACATCCGTTTCACAAATCTGACTTATATGTATGCTGACTGTTGGTTCCTTATTTCTCATGTAGATGCACTTCGACATAAGGGACCCCCCCCCCCCCACTTTCTCCAATCAGTCGACTCTTACGACATGTTTGTAGGGGAGGCAGTGGTTCTATTCTTGTTTTCCCAGATAATGGGGCCCTGGAACCCACACGGGAAGTGGGAACCGCATGAGAAAGCCTTGACAGGAAGAGGATACAGATATGTAGAGTCACATGGAATGGATCGCATTCAAAATTGGTTTAATTGTACAGGTTTTCGTTTCTAGGATTCTGTGCCAAAACCGTTAAGCCATTTATCTTGTGATCTGAAGTTCGTAGGATATTTTAAAGACTTCCTTCCACTCACTCGCGGGTATAGATCTGATGGACATCATTTAGGGAGTCGTAGCTAGGAATTTCGTGCATCGATTGGTATGTCAGTAGCGACAGACAGACAGACAGACAGACAGACAGACAGACAGACAGACAGACAGACAGACAGACAGACAGACAGACGGACGGACGGACGGACGGACGGACGGACGGACGGACGGACGGACGGACAGACAGACAGACGGACGGACGGACGGACGGACGGACGGGCGGGCGGGCGGACGGGAGAGAGAGAGAGAGAGAGAGAGAGAGAGAGATAAATAGATAGATAGATAGATAGATAGATAGATAGATAGATAGATAGATAGATAGATAGATAGATAGATAGATAGATAGATAGATAGATAGATAGATAGATAGATAGATAGATAGATAGATAGATAGATAGATAGATAGATAGATAGATAGATAGATAGATAGATAGATAGATAGATAGATAGATAGATAGATAGATAGATAGATAGATAGATAGATAGATAGATAGATAGATAGATAGATAGATAGATAGATAGATAGATAGATAGATAGATAGATAGATAGAGAGAGAGAGAGAGAGAGAGAGAGAGAGAGAGAGAGCCAGCCAGCCAGCCAGCCAGCCAGCCAGCCAGCCAGCCAGCCAGCCAGCCAGCCAGCCAGCCAGCCAGCCAGCCAGCCAGCCAGCCAGCCAGCCAGCCAGCCAGCCAGACAGACAGACAGACAGACAGACAGACAGACAGACAGACAGACAGACAGACAGACAGACAGACAGACAGACAGACAGACAGACAGACAGACAGACAGACAGACAGACAGACAGATAGACAGATAGATAGATAGATAGATAGATAGATAGATAGATAGATAGATAGATAGATAGATAGATAGATAGATAGATAGATAGATAGATAGATAGATAGATAGATAGATAGATAGATAGATAGATAGATAGATAGATAGATAGATAGATAGACGTGCCTCCATTACCTAAAGGCTGGGTACATCTCGGGATCAAATGGTTTTATCCTCTAGTCAGAATGCAACCAGAATAACTACTTGTGAAAAGATTTGAAGTGAAAGAAAAAGGCCATCCTAGTCTAAATGGATTGATGACATTAAAAAGAGCTTCTTCAATCAAAAAGAAATGACAGTAGCCATTGTTGCTTATCAAGTAATGGATCGGAAACTGTTCCTCGCCACGTCGTTTATCGGCAGAAGTATAAATTGATATTGATGAATCATAGGGTTCTTTTTTAAATTTTTTTAAAGAACATAAATTAGGAAAACCGTACAGGCAGAAACTAATCTATAATAAAGTAAAACTAAAGTAACCTTATTACACTAATGGTGTACTAGGCTTTGATTTATAGACTCATTTTAAAAAGTAAAGTGAGTGAAGGTCCTTTTTCCACGCCTCTATGCGTAAAGGGCATATAGGGCTAGTCCTAGGCCAATCGGCACAAGATGGGTGATGTGGTCAGAATCACGCCGGCTGTCTTTACTTCCTGAGACTGCACCCGGTACCCACTAAAAGCTGGGTCGACCTGGGAGTCATAGTCATTTTGTAAAAAAAGTCCGGCTCCGCCAGGGAGCGAAACCACGACCTTCTGGTCTGCACATGAGTGTCTAGCTGCTTCGCCACAGCCACTCTCGCGACGCCCCATACCATGATAAAAATCCACCCAGCCAGCCGTATACAATACTATGCCCATCTTCTGAGTTGATTACATGGTGTGACACTGTGGGCTGCGGATTTCATTTAGAATGTTTTTCGACTGTGACCAACTTGGTTGTATGAATTGTAGATTCAGAAAATGGCGCGATGGCGGTTGGCGCAAAATTGGTGGTGCCATTATGTGTTCAAAATTGATCGCGTGTGCAACTGCTGATCTGTTGGTGACCTCTGCTAGTCACTAGTGCTACCATCCATGATTAACTGCATTTCTAATGTCGGACTGTTTGTGTTAGCACTTCAGATGGCTACAGTTTGCTTTTAATGCGTGTGTATGCAAGCGCATATGCTGAGACAGCAGTCTGTCGATCTTTCTACAAGGGACTGTGATACACATTTTGTGTGGTTTTCGTTGGCACAGGAGCGGAGCAACTATGGGGGTGATCCGTTTGCTATGAAGCTGAAACTAAGATTATCAGGTCAGCAGATATAATACTATGATTTAAGTTTAATTTCAGATGCATCGGAGAGTAGAAGAGGACGTACAACCAAGAAAATCATAGTAGATACAATACTCGCATGAAAGAAGAAAGAATTAAATTAAATTTTTGTGTATTCTCTACTGAATGACAAACTAGCTGAATACTGTTTTTATTATTGGTAATACAGTGTTAAAATACAAACTTCTTTTTTGGTGATTTTGTAGCCATCAACTTAATTTTTTTGTGTGTGTGTGTGGGTTGATAGTGGTTTAGAAAGCCGTGGTATGCTACTGAATATAGTAATATCAATCAGCCAATATAAGCTAGGGTTGGAGTGCGATGTTCTGAATACGGCATGCTACTGCGTTTTTTTTTTTAAGACAGGATGAGATTTGAACTCTGTTCTCAGCACTAAGTTTTTAGCGTGTTATACATATAACCATCAAAGATAAATTATCTGCTGGAGTTTACAGCTGGTGAACGCGAAGAAGAAGAAGAAGAAGAAGAAGAAGAAGAAGAAGAAGAAGAAGAAGAAGAAGAAGAAGAAGAAGAAGAAGAAGAAGAAGAAGAAGAAGAAGAAGAAGAAGAAGAAGAAGAAGAAGAAGAAGAAGAAGAAGAAGAAGAAGAAGAAGAAGAAGGTTATCCTGAGTGCTAACCTCATGTTTAAAATACCAAAGTTGTTGCATTTAGCGAATTAAATTTTTTTTTCTCTTTTATCAGTTGCAAATGATAAATAACGCTAGAAGCTACTGGATACACTGTGGTATTACAAGGAATTTTTCTGATTTCAAGTCAAAATTTATTTTAAGGCGCTGTGTTTCAATCGGTTAATTCCCTTCAAGGATTCAAAGATTTTATTGTGGTCTTACATCACGACAAGAAAATGCAGGTTGTATATAGCGGAGGATCCACACCGACTCCTTCCCCGCACATGAAGCGTAAGGCGGAATACGGCCGACGCAATATTCCAAGATATATTGCCCACGTCCACCCGCAAATTATCGTGCAGAGATCGCGGGAAAAATTCACAGAAGGGGACACAACACTCCGGGACTCGATCCCCTTGATGAGCAAATGCACTGCGGTTGTTTGTCTACTCTTGAATGTCATTCTGCCAGGTTCTGGTAAGTAAGTTGTCAATCGTTCATTTGTCTAGATGTTGTTAGCGTCCTTATGGAGCGAACAGATCATTATGATATTCTAAGTGTGTATAGACAAATTGTCGGCTCTCTGGCTAAGTCGATGCGAACGCTTCGTAATGCCGGGATGCCGGGTTCGATCCCAGCTGCACGCCATGTGCCTTGCGTTGGTTTCGACAGTGGTATCAAGAAAGCCGACCGTCCAGTGACCAGTGACAAACTACTGGACGTAAATTTGCCTAGAAAAACCACACAACAGCCAGGGGTTGTTGGTGTTGGTTCTGAAACGTCCTGTAAAGGATACACAATTTAAAAAAAAAAAAAAACAGACAAATTATCGCGCCCGGCAACTTTCAGCAACAACAAACTACATTTCTGATAGCGACGGTTGACTTTGGCGCGTTTAGCAACTGGCATATGCATTTATTGAGTGTGCATATTTTCGATTGTTTCGGGACTAATTGTTCACTAGTTTTTCAAATGAGACATACAGAGTCATTTTATTGAATTTTACTGGAACAAGAACGGAGCAGGTGTGGGATGACCCGACTGCAGTGAAGTTGAAACTTTGACAAATACTGAGACAAAGCTACTGATAGTCTGAGAAAAAGAGTGCTGCAAGGAATGACCAGGGGGATCTGGCCTACTCTCAACACTCAACGGAAAGGTGAGAGGGATTTACAAACATTGGAACTATCAGAATTGGAACTCTTCGCTCGCTGCTGCAGATGGGAGCACAACGCTTATTGGAGAGCAGGGATTAACATAGTAGAGCAGGTATTACCATGATTGCCTTTCGACATACTGTTTTCCAATTCCCATCAAGTTGAATCTAAAAAAAAAAAAAAAAAAAAAATAATTCATCTTGGCTCAAGTGTAAAGACAACCTAAGATAGATTCACTAAAGGTCTCTTTTCCACGCTTTAGACGTACTGAACATTTGAGCTAGACCTACATTTTATAGACCAATCGGCACTCTTTGGGTGACGTAGGCAATATCACAGCGGCCGCACTCATTTTCTAGGCCTTTAACTGGTACCCAATCAGGGCTGTGTTTACCTAGGACTTTGGGGAAACAAAATCCGGCTCAATCGGGACCCGAACCCACGACTTTTATCCGCAGGCGAGCGTCTAGCTACTACACCACGGCGGCTTCACCTAAAATAGGTATCAGAATATAGATGGGGAAGTAGAGCTCCCGGTAAAATATTGAACACATCATACATCGATTGAAACATAATATTATGTCCCCTTGCGTCTAAAATGCATCAAGGGATCAGAAGGGTATTCTACAAATGATTTTCATTTACTGCTAACAACGAAAATCATGCTGCAAGTAAATCTCACGTGTCGATTTCTGATTCCAGGATTTGTGGTAGCCATTAAAAACAAAAATATAAAAAGAAAATAAAACTTACCCTTACGTCACTTCTGTTGTTGTTGAAATCGTTTTATAATGGTTGAATAAAAGGTACAGACAGCATGCCATAGATCAGTCGCCAACTATTGTACAGATATATATTAGTTTACCTTCAACAACAGAATATTGTTTGTATGTGTGTGTGTCTGTGCGTCTCTGTGTGCTAGAAAAGAGCGAAGATCAAAAGGTAAAAGAGAGAAGACAGACAGACAGACAAAGACAGACAGACAGACAAAACGAACGAACGAACAAACTTTTTTTTCAAAGAGTTAAGAATTGGGCACACTGGCGGCCTGTCTAGTCTCCCTCCTTTCATGCATCATTTCATTCATACATCAAGCATTAGACAGACGGCTGAGCCAACGGACGGACGGATGGGGGAGGGGGGGGGGCGGGGGAGCGGACGGACGGACGGACGGACGGACCGACCGACCGACCGACCGACCGACCGACCGACCGACCGACCGACCGACGGACGGACGGACGGACGGACGGACGGACGGACGGACGGACCGACCGACCGACCGACCGACCGACCGACCGACCGACCGACCGACCGACCGACCGACCGACCGACCGACCGACCGACCGACCGACCGACCGACCGACCGACCGACCGACCGACCGACCGACCGACCGACCGACCGACCGACCGACCGACCGACCGACCGACCGACCGACCGACCGACCGACCGACCGACCGACGGTCGGTCGGTCGGTCGGACGGACGGACGGACGGACGGACGGACGGACGGACGGACGGACGGACAGACAGACAGACAGACAGACAGACAGACAGACAGACAGACAGACAGACAGACAGACAGACAGACAGACAGACAGATAGATAGATAGATAGATAGATAGATAGATAGATAGATAGATAGATAGATAGATAGATAGATAGATAGATAGATAGATAGATAGATAAAGCAGTCATTGGCAATTACAGAAAGCCACAGTAGGGAAGTGGTTAGTAGTTTTCTTGCCGGGCTCGATTTAACTTATTGATATTAAAATTCACATCGAATTGTTAGTTACGAGTTAACAACCGAAATCATATCACTTGGGAAATTCCCATAAACGATCGGTCCTCTTCTTCAGGTGCAAGCATACAGTTCAAATTCCCATGGTGCAAGTAACAGTCTAATTGTATATCTGTCTCTCCCCTCCCCAAAGTTCTTCTTAGTTTCTCCTGGCCGGACTATTCTCTTTTTTGCTGGTGTCAAGGACAGATGAACACGACTTGAAAGATTCAAGCATCAGTCATATCTAATGTACAAGAACAAGGGCAATCGGAGTGACTGAAACAGCTATAGGAGGAATGTTACTGTTGTGTCTTGTTGAATAAGTACTTGCGAGAATTGTTCTGTGAAGACTTCAGATTCTAGAAGACCGGGTTTACTTATTGTCAGAGTGTGGTGTTCGTGGGAACCGGTCTACCAGTGATATAATCTTCTCTTTACGACAGCTGCAGGGAAAATGCCGTGAACAAAATCAACCAATGTATATTGTTAATATTGATATTTAAAAGGCATTTGATTTGGTTAATCCTAAAGGTTTGTTCAACATTGTCAAGAAGATTAGGTTAGATGTCCTGCTAATACACTGATCATTATTGAGTCGTTTCACACAGAAATCAACGTTGACGATATAACATCGAAAAGGTTTCTAAAAAAAAAGAATGGAATGAATAAGAGGTGTAAACTTGCCCCTATCCTCTTTAGCAAATACTTCTTAATCCTTTTGAAACATGAGAAGAAATACACTAAATACTTATGATAACAGCAACGGTCCTGAAATCCCATGCTATAATCGTAAAAGACTTCGTAACGCAGTCGGGTCTTGCTAGTCACACTCGCCATCGCCTGTGAGTCACATGCCAGCTATTAGCATAACATAAGATTATAGTCTGAAAAGATGGAAAGATGCCAACCTAATTAATTTCTGAGTACTTCTTGCGATTATGTTATTTCTTATAAATGCTGCTAGTGTCGCACTGTATGTTATTATTTCTTGTGAAACTAGAATATATTTTATGTCATCTATCCATGTTATCTCCGTTTGCCCTCTTTCTGTCAAATCAGAGCTTGTTAGATGAAGCGCCTGCGTTGGCTGTTGTTGTAGTTACATTCTAGCCAGATGACCGACCCATTTAATTTTTTCCTTGAAAAGAAAATGTGTGTAAATATTCCCACAGTACCAGTATCATTTCTCACTCCACCTTGGATGGTTAAGTTGGCGACTTTCTCAAACATTCTCATTTCACAGGTGTTTCATTTACGTTGGGCAACCTTTGATAATATCTGAGGTATGCAGTGGTAGCACAGTGTTGGAAGAAACATAACTGATTTTCTAGGAAAAAAATATATGCGCAGCGTATTTGACGTCTGCATTTAATGACTCTTTAACACTGCTGTTTTCACATGTTTCTAAACCGACTTCTCTGTTTCGCTTTCTTTGCCTATCTCATTATTTTATCCTGTACATTTACTAAGAAAAGATTTCACTTCTGTGTACGGTCGAAATATATTGGCAATATAGTTTAGTTCAGGTGATTCAAGAACCGACATCACAACACTCGGAAGAACCTACAGGTGCTCCGTCACCATCTTTAGAAGCCAGTGCAGAGTTTTCATACTAATGGTGCCAGGAGCATTCTGATTAAACGTACGTCTTGCCTTTCCTCTGAACCTCGAGCATCTGCCAGAACCACTCCCCGCTGCATCAATCTCACCAGACTTAGGAACATAATGGCTAGACACTCGCCTGCGAACCCGAAGGTCTTTGATTCGAACAGCCTGACCCAGCCTAAAATAAGTACCTGGAAAGTCATAGGAAGTTACACGTTACCAGCTTGCGTTTGACCACAAACACCCATCTAGTGCCGACTGTTACAGAAATGTATGAGTCTAGCATAGAGTCACCGACGAGTGTGAGGCGTGTCTGGGTGCCCAGGTTGTGAATCTTTGAAAATATAACCCTTGATCGGCTAGGGTCGTTGAGGTGTGTTGATGGAAACATTAGCAAAAAATCCGCCACCCTCCTGCCATGTTTCTTTGTCTTTTGCTTATTGAACAAGTGTTTAATAATTTAGTCCTGTCCATTACTTGAATTTGTCATTCCATGTTCTCTCTCTCTCTCTCTCTCTCTCTCTCTCTCTCTCTCTCTCTCTCTCTCTCTCTCTCTCTCTCTCTCTCTCTCTTTTTTTTTTTTTTTTCCTACATATATATATATATATATATATATGTGTGTGTGTGTTTGTATATATATATATATATATATATATATATATATATATATATATATATATATATATATATATATATATATATATATATATATATATATATATATATATTTATATATATAAACTTTTCCTAGAGTTATAACTGTTTGCAATCGAATCATGTGTCACCAAGTCCCTGACCCAAACTAGCTAGTAATGTTTCACCACTGACAAAAGAGGCTCATGATTTCCTGCACATCTGTTTGTTTTGTCTTCTACATATATGTTAGTATTCTGTTCTAAAAAAATATTTATCTGAAAAAAAAGTTCATTCGT